GCTACATATAAGGGAAGCACCCTGCCCGTTGTACTATCTCTCCAGCCCCAACAGTCAGTTACTAGGAACTGCTTATTATTTTTTTCTTTTTAATTCTTTTAATTCTTTAATTTAAAAATTAATATTTTAATGAATTTACTTTTTAACTGAATCACCGTGAGATGCACAGTTGCGAAGCTGTTCATGGCTGGGTTTCCGTCATACACCTGTCCCTTCACCTAACTGGTTATTAGTAACAATGATCCTGCCTGCTGGCAAGTCACTTCTGGTCCCACAGGCTGGCTCGGAAGACGGTCCCAGGTGTCTCTCCCCAGGCCCTCTTCCCATCCGGAAATCTAGGCTGTGTCGCTTCCCTGAGCAGCTCCTCTGCCCAGGAAAGCAAAGACAGAAGCTGACAGGCTAGGAGGACGGGAGAGAGTCAAAGGCCCAGCGCTCAGGCTTTGCAGGGGAAGGCCCAGATTCCATCTCTGGCACCACAAGGTCCCCGGACTGGCCCAAGCACCGCTGGAAGCAACCCCTAGTACTGCCAGGAGCAACTCCGAGCAACGTGCCAGGAGCATCCCCTGAGTTCCTCTGGGTGTGGCCCCAAAAACAACAAAGCAAAAGATTTAGGCTGGAAACTAGCCAATGACGCATCTGCCCCATTATTAAACCGAAGCAAGTCCCAGCACAGCCCCAATCCAGGGGCAGGGCAGATTCAGCCTCTGGATCTAGGGAGAACGGGGCCCGCTCGAAGACGGCTGGCGACCACCCTCAAGGCCCAGAACCCCTTCCAGACTAGAAGCTACACAAATCAAGAGTCTTTAGAACAACTTTCTACAGAACCACCATCGTTTCCCCCTGTGCAGTGAAGGAGTTAGCTCCTGAGGGCCACGTGGCCTGCTGCGTCAGCGTCAGCCCGTCAGCTCCAGGGCTGATGTGAATCACCTTGGAGCCCCACCTCCCAACAGCACCCCTGAAGCGGGCAGGAGTGTGGGAAAGCCCGAGCTCCGCCGACCTGGGGCCGGCTTCCTCACGGCTCAGCTGCAGTTCCTCCCAAGCAAACCAGGCATCCAAGCACTCCGTGTTCTCCATAAATGTTGTTTTGTTTTGTTTGGGGGCAACACCCAGCAGTGCTTCGGGGCTTTCTCCTGGAGCTGAACCCAGAGATTAGAGCTGGTGGAGATCCTGGGACCACATGCGGTGCTGGGGATCAAACCCTGGAGCATGCAAGGCACGTGCCCGACCCACTGTGCCATCTCTCTGGCTCCCTCTGTAAATGTTCACCACTCCTGCGGGTCCCTGGGCGCTCCACAGGTCTAAGACCCCCGTCTCTGGGGCTCTCACTGCAGTGATGGGAGTCTACACGGCTTCACCATCGTGGTCCCTCCAAACCGCTGCCGTAGTGACCACACCGAGGTTCTCTTCCACGGTGGACCGCCTGCTTCCACCTGGAGCTGCCACCCCAGGTGAGAGGCCTGGTGGCTCCCTGGGTCACACCCCATCCCGCTTCACCTCTGTCTACACACAGGCAGGCGGCCCTCCCTGGCCGATCCCAAGAACACCCTGTTTGTCTTTGACCGTTTGACAAAAGGTCGCCAACAGCCTTTTCCAGTGAGGGGAGGGGTTGGGAGCGTCCCCAGTTCGGGGCTTTTGCTGGACGGTTGTGGTTCCTGACGCAGCTGTTTTGCTACACTGCGGTGCAGTGGCGACGAGCCGCCACTAGGTGGCAGGGGTGTGTAACGCCCTGGCGACCCTCCCCCAGGAGTTCTCCCCCAGGGCCCAGCCTGGCTCTTGGCAGGACCAGCACGTGCCTCTTAAACCAGCTCATCCCCCTGAAGTTCAAGGTGAACGATACATTTCATTTGCATTCTCTGGAAAACAGCCCCGAGACGCCGCCGCTGATTCCAGCGACAGCTCTCACAGGAGTTACGTTACGAAGTCGTTTTATAACCTTTGGCTCGAAAGGGCCTGGGAAAGGTAAATGAACGGCAGGTTATTTAGGGGCTGGTCAGGTTCCCCTCTGCTTAGGACACTCGACAGGCCTCTTACGGCCAGAGGTCACGGGCCCTGGACTATCACTTCCTCCAGAGGATTGGAAGTAGTGTGCTAGGTTCCCACTGAGACCCCAAAGGTTACTTGGAGGACACGAATTTCAGTAGCTTCTGGGATGAGAAGCAGGAAAAAGGGCATCACTAATCTCATCCCCGTAGGAACCGGCCAGCCTGTGGAAGCCTGCTTTAGCGAAACCCACCGGGACACAGGGCAGAGAGAGGCGAGGGAGTGGGAAGCCCAGGAAGATGGCCAATGCCCCATCCTCGCAGGGCGGGGAGTGGAGACGCAGGCCCGAGTGGAAAGAATGAGAAGTTTACTTGATCACTTCCCTTTTCAAGGAGGGGTGAGGTGAGCGAGCGGGAGTAGGCGGAGGAGACGGATGATGGGGACGCAAGTGAAGCCAACCAAGACAGGGTCGGTAGAGAATCTGAACATTGAACAGGCAAGGACCAGCATCACCAGCCCGCGGGGGCCTGCCTGGCACTCAGCTGGGCACTGTGATGGTGAGGGCAGAGGCAGCTTCTACAGAGCAGAGGAAGGGGCGGGCCAGGGGCGGCAGAGATGTCTGATTCGCAAACAGGGGCCACCCAGTTTTGTTTGGGGCCACCCCCAGCAGTGCTCAGGACTGACTTCTGGCTCTCGCTCAGGGATCACTCCTGGACAGGCTCTGGGGACCATATGAGGTGCTAGGGATTGAACCCGGGTCAACTATGTGTCAAGCGAGTGCCCTACCTGCTGTACTTTTCCTCTAGCCCTTCTCCCTCCCTGCCCCCGCTTCAGAACCCTGTTTTCTGGGGTTGGGGCCATACCAGGCTGTTCTCGGGGCTTATTTCTGGCTCAGCACTCGGGGCTCTGTGCTCAAGCTGTGATAGCCTGGCTCTACCGAGCAAATGTGTTGGTTCCTTCTTCTGGTTGTAGCGTTCTTTTTTTTTTTTTTTTTGCTTTTTTGGGTCACACCCGGTGATGCCCAGGGGTTCTTCCTGGCTCTGCACTCAGGAATTACTCCTGGCGGTGCTCGGGGGACCATGTGGGATGCTGGGAATCGAACCTGGGTTGGCTACGTGCAGGGCAAACGTCCTCCCCACTGTGCTATCGCTCCAGCCCCTGTGGTTGTAGCATTTTGACCTGTTCTGGAACAAGCATTCCCCACCCCAACCACCAGCAGATTATGGTATCCTAGGCCAGCAAATCAGCAGCGCTGACCTTAAACCCTCCTGTAGTGTACTTTGCCTTCTTTTAAACCCCACTTCCAGGGCCAGAGAGATAGGCCAGCGGGTAGGGCATTTGCCTGGCATGTCGCCAACCCGAGTTCTACCCCTGACACCTCATACGGCCCCCAGAGCCTGGCCAGCAGTGATCCCTGAGCACTGAGCCAGTAGTGAATCCTGAGCACCACCAAGTGTGACCCCCCCCCAAATAATGAAACCCACTTCCAGCCCACCAGCAGTGATGGCTACCCTTCACTACACCAGAATCTGGCAAGTCTCGCCACCCCCACCCCAGAGACAGACCCTGATGAGTCAGCGTCAGCTTAGTTTTCAGCTGTTCCACTGAAAACTGCTACTTGATTCCATCCCAGCATGAGGGACAGCTGTCAAGGTGACTCACGGTGACAACTCGGGCTACCTCGGCCTCGAGGGTGAGCCGCTCATCAGCCCCCTCTTCATCCACTCTTCTCCGCTGCTCTGGCCTCCTGAACTTCCGGCTCCCAACTAGATACCCCAAAGGCTAGCAGCTCTCTGCTGTCCTCCAGGCTCTGCCCTGGCCCCTTCTCAGGGAGCCTTTCCTGACCGCCTGGATGAGCCCCACACTCCCCTCCACCTCCCCAGCACTCTCTGAAGCCCCCCACATTGTTTCATTGTTCTCCATACTAACCCCTGTAGGTATGTAACGAATACACAAGTTTCTGTCATACCCAGCAGTACTCCTTGTTCTGTGCTTACAGAGCATGCCTGGCTGTGCTCAGGGGGCCGTAGGTGGGGATCAATTGCGCATGGGCTGGCCGAGTGCAAGGCAAGTGCCCTGCCTGTCTCTCCGACCCTCACATTTGTTGTCTTGTCTCCTTTCCATCAGACTATACGCTCCAGAAACTATCGAGAGACCTGGGGATGTTTTCACCACCACACCCCACTGACTAAAAAGCAGCCAAGACCATTTCATAGACGCTCGATAAATTTGGCTGTTTCAGCAGCAGACTCAATAAAATACTATTAGTAGGTAACAAGGCCTAAAGACGTTTCCCTAAGCTTAGCAGTCTTTAAAAAAAAAAAAGAAGATCGTTTTTGCAGAGAGGGAGGCAAAAGATGTTTTTGTGTTGTATAAAGGCCCATTTATCAGGCCCAGAGAGATATTACAGAAAGGCAACTGCCTTGCATGCGGCCAACCCAGGTTTAAATTCTGGCGCTGAACGTGGTCTCCTGAGCCCCGCAGGAGTGATCCCTGAGCACAGTCAGGAGTAGTCCTCAGCACTGCCAGGTGAGGACCCGAAGCCCCCAATAAATGCACGCCTGAGATGCCCACGACAACTGGGGGATGCGTTGGGGACCGGGTATAAGCCTGGGGGCCGCCCCAGCGATGCTCAGGGGCTGATCCTGGGGCTCAGGGTCGCCCCTCGAGGTGACGTGGGGGTACACGTGCAGGCCGGGATGCAACCGGCGCAGGCGCCTTAGCCCCCAGGGGCCCTGCAGAGCCAGCACCGACGCCCGCCGCAGACTTCGTCCCGCTCGAGCTCCCTTTCCAGGCCGGGACCCCGCCAGCCGCGCCCGCGGACCTTGGCTCGGGCGCCGCCCGCCGAGCCCCGAGTCCGCCCGGCGCCCCCGCCCGCGCCCTCCCGCGGCGCCGCCCACAGGGACGAGCACGCGCACGCGCCGCGCGCGCTGAGCCCGCCCGGCACCCGTCCCGCGCGGCCCGCCCCCTCACTTCCGCTTCCGGGGGGCGTCGCGAGACTTCCGGCGGCGTGACCTGGCCGCGCGGGGCCGGGGCCGAGTGGGCGGCGGACGGGCCTGCGCGACGGCCGGTAAGCGGGCGGCGCGGCGCGGGGAGTGGCGGCGCCGCCCTCGCTGCTTGGCCCGCAGCGGCCCGGGCGGCGGCGGGAGCGGGGCGGGGCGGGGCGGGGCCGCCCGGCGCGGGGCCCCTCGGACGCTTCGCGGCGGAGCCTGGCCGGGCCCCGAGCGCCCGCGCGCGGCGCAGGAACGTTGCGCCGTCCGTTGGGCGCGGCGTCGCCCCGGCCCTTCGCTCGCGACGAAACGGGACCCGCACCCCCGGCCGGGGCTGGGCCGTCGTACCCGGCATCCCGTGTGGTTGGTTCCCCCCTCGAGCCCGCCGGGGAACTCCCGGGACCCCGGGGTAAAACAAATCATCGTCTCCTCCAGCGACCGGAGCGCTTTCCAGCCAGAAAGGCTCATTTTCAGCGTCCCCGCCCCCCCCTCCCGAAAAGGCATAGGTAGACTCCGACCCCATTTGACGTATCTGTAAGTTAACGTGCTCATAAAAAAAAAAATAGGTCGAAATAATGGCCTTGCTGGAAGTCGGCCTCACGTGCTGGGGGAAAAGGCAGCTGGGACAGAGAGAAGGGACCGCCAAGTGAATGATGCTCGGCGGGCTCGCTCGGGATGGGAGATGCGTGCGGAAAGTAGACCGTGGACCGGACGTGATGGCCACTTCCTACCTGTATTGCAAACCGTAACTCCCCAAAGGAGAGAGAGAGTAGAAGGAAATGTGCCTGCCACGGAGGTGGGGGGGCGGGAGGGCAGGAGGGATACTGGGGGCATTGGTGGCGGAGAATGGGCACTGGTGGAGGGGTGGGCGCTGGATCGTTGTACGACTGAAATGGAATCACGGGAATTTGTAAGTCTGCCCTATCTCACGGTGACTCATGGAAAAAAGGAAATTTGGTCTTGCAGTGTCTTGGGTGTTCCTCGCTGCTGTGGTCTTGGTACCCATTGTCAACATAGACCATTCCGAAGCAGATCATGAAGTACAAATGACCATTTCTTTACCTGTACAGTCCTGTGCGACAGGTGGATTCGTGTGTGTGTGTGTGTGTGTGTGTGTTTTAAACATCACCGAGTTCTTCCAGTCCCCTGTTGAAATGTGAAATGCGCTTAACTTGCTTTTTCTTCTTGCCATTGTTTTCAAGGGATTCTGTCAGGGATCTTCGAAACACTGCAGAGATGTCTGATGTTCAGGAAGCTACAGACCAACTCCTGGATGTGAACCTTCAGGAGAACCACAGGCCAATACCAGTGGCAGAGAGTGACCCTGGAAATGACTCCGAGTGTCTCCAGGTCACCATTGGGGCCACTGTACCCACGGGCTTTGAGCAAACGGCAGCGGATGAAGTGAGAGAGAAACTTCGATCATTGTGCAAGATCAGCAAAGACCGGGGCAAGATCTATTTTGACATTTCAGTGGAAAGCCTTGCTCAGGTTGGAATGTAGCACTATTTAAAATAGCTCCTGAATTCATTATCTAATGATTGCATTTTGATTTACAGACCTCTTTGGAATTCTTTTTGCTTTTCTGTCCCCCACACCTGTTTTTTGTTATTTTCTGCACTTTTCTGTGGGTCAAATTTGTAAATTTGACTAGTTGGGGTTTTTTTGGGAGGGGGGCTGTGGGGGCTTTTGGGCCCTTCCCAATGGCAGGTGAGGTCACTCCCAATTCAGTGCTCCAGGGTCATGCATTGCTGGGGTCAGGCCTGGGCCTCCTGCATGCAGAGTGACCCTCAGCCCTGTGAGGTCTCTCCTCATGTTGTCTTTTAAAAAGCAGTTTATATTTTTTAGACATGAATTTAACAGGATTCTTTGTGAATATGAAGAAAATCTGGGGTCTGCTATCTTTGAATGTACTTTTTTTTTTTTTTTTTCAAATTTTGGGCCACACCTGGTGGGGCTTAGGAGACCATATGGGATGCTGGGAACTGAACCTGGGTTGGCCACATACAAGGCCAGCGCCCTACCCAATGTACTAGCTCTCCTGCCACTCAACTTGAATCATAAGAAGAGATTGGTCTTTTAATCTGTCTGACAGAAACTGTTGAGAAGTCTTGGAGGTGAGAAGTGAAGGGCAGCCATTCTGCTGAGAGAAAAGCTAAGCTCTGTGTCAGTGCGCATGACCAGCGAGGGCAGAGGCTGGGTTTCCTCTTGTTTCATTTTGCCATTATCTCTCAGGCCTATCATAAACCTCCAGAAGCATTTGGTTTCTGGGACCCCTGCAGAGGCCAAAAAATCCAGTGCGTGCTCAGTTGCCTTGGATTTGCCGATCTTTCTAGTCATCCTTTAATGTGCTTTAATCACCGCTAGGTTTGCTCGACACACCGAAGTGCTCCCTCTGCATGCACGTAGTAGGGTTTGTTGCTTGGCACCTCCTGGTCTCTTGAGCGCTGCTGGGAGTAGCCCCTAGCCCCAGGTGTTGCTCAGACCTTTCAGGAAGAAAGTACTGTTGGCTGCATGCATCAGAGGCCTGAGTATTTGTGGTTTTTGTTTGGGTGACTAGGTCCATCCTGGGTGACTAGCCTAAGGACACGTAAGGCTGACTCAGTTTATTTTATTTTTTATTTTTATAAGGTTGTTCACAATAGTTCATTGCAGATAACATTCAAACACCCATCCCACCACCATGCACCTTCCCACCACGATAAGAGGAAAGTGTGTGGCAATTATCGTATGTCATCCTGGAGCCATTTAAGCCCTTGTATAAGAGATTACGAGCATGTACGGTAAACCCAAACGTGTGCTACTTTTGGTACGTCAGTGGGTTAGAGTATAAAAGGTCCGCGGCTGCACTCCAGGACGTTCTGTTTTGCTCTCTTCCAGGAGCTTTATTTCGGAGTCTCTTGATCTTGTCCATTGATAAGATTATATGGCGCTGAGGGCAGTTTGAGAGTGTGACTGCCAAGCTACTGGGAAGCTGGGGGGAGGAGGCCCAGCCCCATACAGAGCGAGCTTGGAGATATCAGTCACGCATACCTGGGTTTTTCTGCAGGTTCCCCCATAGGTGAGGCTCGTCCAAGCCTGTGGAGAGCGGCCTTGAGCATGACTGCATGGTTGGGTTCTGCTGGTGTGGGGAGGGAAACTCAGCCCACCCGCCTCCAAGCTGTCCCCGTGAAGACCACCTGGCACAGTGTTGGGACCTGACTCCTCAGTTTAGGGAGAAGTTGTGTGCCCGGGGTTGCCGAGCTCAGAATTCAGGTCGGGAGCACAAACGACTGCGGTGCCAGTGGCCCGCGGAGAGCTAAGAGGGAAATCCAACGAATCCCACCCCCACCCCCCTTACTCCCACCCTCTCCCACCAGCAGATTGTTCTCTTTCCATTCTCACATGGCAGGGGGGGTCACTTAGCTCGTAACAGCCCTTTGTCATCTGTCCTTCTATTTCTCTTAGAGCTTATGGATGACCAGAGAGACGGGACACAATGGGTGGGTGAGAATGGTTTTTGTTTGTTTTTTAGGCCATATGCCACAGTGCTCAGGGCTTACTCCTGGCTCTGTGCTCGGGGATCACGCCTGGTGAACTCCGTGATCCGTAGGATGCCGGGGATTGAACTCGGTCAGCTGCATGCAAGGCAGATGCCCTACCCCCTGTACTATTTATCGGGCCCCGGTGAGGATGTTTTTAAATACGAGTTATAGGTGTTAACTATTAAAATCTCTGACCCTCATTTTTAACAGAAATGTTGATGGTTTGTGTGATTCAAAACCTTTTCCGGAAATTTTCTTCTAACATATTTTTTTTTCCTTCCCAGGTTCATTGTCTGAGATCAGTGGATAATTTATTTGTGGTTGTTCAGGAATTTAAAGATTACCACTTCAAAGAGACAAAGGTGAGCTTTTCCAAATGTGGTGCCGTAGATCATTCCAGTTTTCTGATTCTGTCAATTAGCATTGCTGCTTGCTGCTATTTTTAATTTTTTTTTGGGGGGGTGGGGTCACACCGAACAGTGCTGGAGCCTACTGGCTTTGTGCTCAGTGATCACTCCTGGTGGGACTTGGGAGACTGTATTCAGTGCTGGGGAGCAGACTCAGGCCAGCCGAGTGCCAGGCAGGAGCCTTGCTTGCTGTGCTGTGTCACCAGTCCTGGCAGTATTACTTTTTTTTTTTAAGCTACTGCTTTTATAAGACCAGAACGAGAGACTTTACACAGTAGAATTCAGTTATGCAAACCGTGGTGTTGATGGCTTATCTGACACTCACAACTGTGGTTGTGGTACACCAGGGATCTGAAACTTCGTTGAGGTGCCAGAAATAACATGCAGGACACGTGGTGGTGCCAGGATTGAACTTGGGACTCATACTTGCAGAACAGGCGCTCTCACACTCACCATCCCTAAACCACCTAAGCGTTATTTCCAGGGGCTTGGGATACAGCTCTGGCAGTGCCTGGCTCACATGTATGAAAACTCGGGTTTGATTTCTGACATCCAGCAGGAATAGCAAAAGTTGGTTATCAGTCCTGAGGGCTGGACTGCTCGTACAGAGTCGTCGTGCTGCTTGCAAGTGGCGACCTGTCTGAGCGTCAGCGTCATGTGGTTCCCTGGCATCACTAGGGCTCACTCCTGAGCACAGCCAGAAATAGTCCTCGAGACCCCCAAGTAAATCTAAAAAACAAATGAATAAAAGTCGGCATTGAAATAGAATTTATAAGAAGTAAAAAATGAAATTGCTTGGTTTTCTACAAAGGGTACCTAAAATTAGCTCTGAGTATAAGTTCGAAGTAGAATTGCTTCCTGGTTGAACCAGAGCAAGGAAATGCTTCCTTGCACTGTTTGGTTTCGGCCTGCGTTCTCTTCAAACTCCATTTTTGAAATAAAGCCAAGGTAATACCTCAGTGCGCCTTCACTTGTTAAAATAGCTTTGGGGGGGTGGGGAGTACAACGGATAGGCTCTGCCCAGGCTCCATCCCCAGCACCACAGGAATCTCCCTGAGTGCAGAGGCTCGAGTAACCACTGGCTGTGACCCCCAAACTCCACACGACAGCAGCAAAAGCTCTGCTTCCCCTATGTATTTCGTCTTTGAGCTAAATAATGCAGATGTGCCAAATTGAAGATTGAAAATAGATTGCTGTAAGGTTTTAATGTTCTCCTGTATCATTTTGGCATCAAGTTTCCAGAATGTATGCTTGAAAAGTATTTCATTGTCTTATAAATAATTGTGTGTGTGGGGGGGGGGTCACACCTGGCTGTGTTTAGGGCGTACTCCTTGCTCTTAGCTCAGGGATCACTCCTGACTGTGCTCAGTGAACCATTTGGGGTGCCAGGAATAGAACCTGGGTCGGCTGCATACAAGGCAAGCACTCTGGCCCCACAAATCATCTTTTTTAAAACTAAGACATGTTTGATTTTCGGGATTTTTCCTTTTCAGTAGCAGGTTGGTTTCCAAAGCATTCAAAAACCAGAATCCATGGCCTAGAAAAATTAAAGATTAAATTGTAGTACTTATTTAAGGCTGGAGTGATAATACAACGGGTAGAGTGCTTTCCTTGTACACGGCTGACCTGGGATGATCCCTCAAGCACTGTGGGGTGTGGCCCTAAACCCCCTCTCCCCACCAAAATTGTTTTAAGTTTTGAGGCCAGACCTGGCAATGTTCAGGTGTTACTCCTCGCTCTGTGTTCTGGAATTACTGGAATGCTGGGATTGAACCCAGGTTGGCTGTGCGCAAAGCAAGTGCCCTGCCTGCTTGTACTGTCACTCAGGCACCATCTCTTTTTCTTTGATTTTGGTGCCCTCCTACAGTTTGTATTATTTGAGCATTGAGATGAGTTGAGTGGGGTAAGTTCTGCACTGAGTGATAGCTCCGTCTTGCAGGACAGCCATGCGCGGCCCAGGGAGACGGGCTTCCAGCTCTGCGGGGCTGACTTGTGCCCAGCCCCGGGGGACTAGAAAACCATCGCTTCATAGACGTACACGGCAGCATGCCGCAGGAACACCGCAAATGTGAAGCGTTACTTGCAGTTTTTGTGCTTTTGACGTTGATTTGTTTTGTTCTTTTATTTATTTATTTTTTTGCTTGGCTTTTTGTTTTGGGTTCACAGCAGGCGGTGCTCTTAGCTTAGACAGCACCCTGCTCACTGGACTTCCTCTCATGCCCTGTGTATCTTCATTTTCTAGGAATTTGTCATTTCGTAGAGGCATTAGTTTGTTTGTGTTTGAGGGCGGTCACTCCGCATGGTGCTCAGGTCACTGTGGTGCTGGGATCAAACAGGGTCAGCCACATGCAAGGCAAGCACCGTGGCCCCTGCGACCGTTTTCGCAGTTGGGTTTGCACTCCCAGAGAAACTCCCAGAGAAACTCTCTAGACCAAGTAGGGGGTTACGTCTGTAAAGTTAAAGAGGTAAAGAATGGATCTCATCTTCTCTCCTTTGTAGGAAGAGGTTCTAAAGGATTTTGAAGAATTGGCTGGGAAACTCCCATGGTCTGACCCCTTAAAGGTGTGGAAAATCAACACCAGTTTCAAGAAAAAGAAAACGAAGCGTAAGAAGATTAATCCAAATTCGAGTAAAGAAAAGATCGAAAATGGACAGGGAGACAAAACAGACAAGACAGATGCGAAGAAGTCCGCCAGCAAGCCCTCGGATCCCCATCTCTCGGACTACTATGAAAATCCTGCCATCCGGGAGGATGTTTGCACGCTGGTCGGTGAGGACTTGGCGTCTCGCAGAGATGAGACGGAGGAAAACTCCAAGGGGGAATCTGAGCCCGAAGTGCTGAAATTCAGAGTGACCTGCAACCGGGCTGGGGAGAAACACTGCTTTTCGTCAAATGAGGCTGCCAGGGATTTTGGGGGTGCTGTTCAGGAATATTTCCAGTGGAAGGCTGACATGACGAACTTCGACGTGGAGGTGGGTGCGGGCTGGGGTTGTGATGGTTGGGGAGGTGCTCGGAGCCAGGGAGGGTTTCCAGCTCGCTTCATCACTCAAGCAGTTCACCCCGGGCCATGGGGCTTGTAGTTGTGGTCATTCAGAGCTCAGGTTACTGAGAAGAATCTAGCTCCACCGTGGAACTCTATATGAGATACTCTCTGGGCATTTTACAAAGCTTCATGGAATGTTCTTACCCTGCTTTCTTGCAAAATAAATTATTACAAAATCTGCAGGTTATATAGTGTGCCAAACTATAAACCTTTCATTTATCCTGAAGGTTAAATAAGTAAATATATTTAAAACATTGGATATATGTGCATTTTCCATATGCTTAGTTGATGAGTGCTGTAAAGACTGAGTTTTCTCATTTTTTTAAATTTTGGTTTTGGGGCCACACCCGGCGGTGCTCAGGGCTTCCTCCTGGCTCTTCACTCAGGAATCACTCCTGGTGGTGCTCGGGGGATCATATAGGATGCTGGGGATTGAGCCCAGGTCAGCCACGTACCAGGCAAGCACTCTGCCCGGTAGTCTACCTCTCTGGTCCCTATTTTTACATACATTTTTAAACTTAATAGTTTATATTTGTCTAGTTAACATGTCACAAAACATTGAGTCAAGTTAAAAAGTACTAAGAATGATAAAGCAGATGTGTTAACAGCCGGGTCATCTGAGTGAAAGGGGAATTTTGGAAAGTATTTCAAAAGATTTTAATGTATATTAAACCCATAAATCTTCAAAACACAATTTGTAACTGTGAAAATTCAGGGTGTAAGGGACTGGAGACATACAGCAGCTGGGGTGTTTGACTTGCACGCCGCTGACCTGGGTTCAAACTTGGGGACCCCATATCGTCCCCCGGGCACTGCCAGGAGTGATTCCTAAGCACAGAGCCAGGAGTCAGCCCTGAGTACCTCCAGGTGAGGCCCAAAAGAAAGTTTGAGCAAATCTCCTTATAGATAATTTACCAAAACAGACAAAACAGAATAGACGTTTTCCGTGGGTTGGCGGGGGGGGGGGGGGGGGGGTGTCAAACGTGTGGCATTGATCCGGGCAGTGTACCAGGGACAACCAGGGACCTTGCTGAGCTTTGCCCACTGGGCTGTATCTCTGGCCCAGGAATGAAACAGACTTTTGAAAGTTTACTGTATGCTAGATGATTTTATTTATCTGAGCACCGAGTAGGTGTCAGATCAGTGATTTGTCTGGGTGGCAGGAGAGGAGGCGCCCGCTGATGTTTGGGGGCTGCTTGTGGATCTGGTAGTTTCACAGCCTGCCAAGTAAAAAGCCACTGAATTCCACGCTGAAGACGTATGTCTCGGGGGCTGGAGAGAGTTCAGCAGGGAAGGCTTGCATGTGGCACACCTGGTTTCAATCTCTTACACCCCATCTTGTCCCCCAAGCACTGCCACGAGTAATTCCTGAGCTTCACCCACTGTGGTCCAAAAATAAATGGGGAAAAAAAATTTTACTACACGTAAACTCTACCTCAGTTAAATTAAAGCCTTGGATTAAAAAAAAAAATCCTAATCCATGTAGCTCAAAAGGTCTAATGCTATTGATTCTGTCCTGCTAAACTTTACCATAGGTTCTTTTGAATATCCACGATAGCGAAGTTATTGTGGGCATTGCCTTGACCGAGGAAAGTCTTCACCGAAGAAACATCACACATTTTGGACCCACGACTCTCAGATCCACGCTTGCCTACGGGATGCTCAGGTGAGAGGCTGGCTCGGGTCTTGCGGGCATTGGACACCTTGGTCTGAACCTGGTCTTCAGAACACCTTAGTGTGGCGTGTGGGGGCCGCGACTTTGCGTGCGGGGGCCTGCGTCGGAGTCTCAGCATCGGATAGTCTCCAGCTGTGCCAGCGGAGGCCCCAAAACCCTAAAACAAAAACGGGTAGGATTCATCAAGAAGGATAGTGGGATGTTTAACGCAGGTAGATAGCGGTGCTTTTTTTTATTTTGGGGGGCCTCATCCAGCAGTACTTAGTGGGTACTCCCAGCTCTGTGCTCAGGGCTCACTCCTGCTGGTGCTCAGGGACCAACCACAAGAGCCAGGAATTGGATCAGAGCATACCGTTCCCGCCACCCATGTTGGCCCTGTTTGCAGCAGCACCTGTTACCTGCTGAAAATTACCCGGCAGCCACATTCTCTCTGGGTGTGAAATGGGCTTGCAGGTGATAGCAAAAGGAACTTTGCATGTAAAAATTTTAAGCACTCAGCATCAAGAAACAATTCATAATTGTAAGTTTCTATTTTTCTTATTTTTGGGCATCACATCCGGCAGTGCTCGGGGCTTGCTCCCCGCAGTTGCCGGGGGTCTAACCTGGGCCTCGGACAGACAGAACTTGCACCCCAGCCCTTTGGGACAAATTGATTGCGGGGGAGGGGGCTGAGGGGAGTCTTAGGTTTGAGCCACACCCAGCCATGCTTAGGGCTTAGTCCCGGTAGTGCTCAGGGTCCCATATGGGATGCTGGGCCTAGAACCTGCGGGACGTTTCAGCGCCCGAGCACATCTATCTCTGAAATCAGTATTGATTCCTTTGTGCTTGCATAATAGATGCTTGACTTTTGGGGGGGCTGGAGGGACCGCCAAAGCAGAGCCCAGGATCTTGCAGAGACTGGTGGGCAGCTGTGCTGGCGGTTAAGGCAAGGGCGATAGAATGTGCTGCTGGGCCCGTGCTGTGGGGATGACCTGCGACCTCTGGGCGACGCTCCTCACACAGGCTGTTTCCTCCCTCCAGGCTCTGTGCTCCTCAGCCCACAGATATCATCGTCGATCCCATGTGTGGAACTGGGGCGATCCCCATAGAGGTAATGACGGCTCAGGCTTCCACACAAGCGAGGGGTCACACGTTGGTGACAGGCTAGACCTAACGGGTGTGGCAAACAGAATCAAGGTTGCATCAGTGTTCTGGAAAGTTTGCAGAGTCGTGCTAGGAAAGCATTATCCTGCGCTAAGCGTTACACAAACTCTTTATCGCGGGCCAGATCTGGATCAGGTTTTAGTGGTATTTGTTCCAGGAACTCCCGGGGGAAGGCTGAGAATTACAGACCCATGAGTCAGTTTTCTGCAGTGGACAGACTGGAGATTTGAATGAAAAAAATTAGCAAAGGCATAAACATAAACTGGAGGGAGATGGTTTCATTTCTATAAAGTGAGATTGTACTTCGGAATTTACTTACGTTCTTAGAATTAATGTCGTTAAGATACAGCTGAAAAAACAATATTACAGCAGGTAGGGCGCCTGCCTTGTGCCCACTAACCCGGATTCAGTCCCCAGCACCACACGGGGTCATTGAGCCCCGCCAGGAGAGATTCCTGAGTGCGGAGCCAGGAGTAAGTCCTGGGCACCACTGGCTGTGGCCCCCGAACAACAAAAAAATCTATGTCGTTGAAACGCAGGAATTTTTGGATGTCCAGAGAGCCTATGTCTCAGGCACTCTTACATTGTTTTGCTAGTTACTATCATACTGAGTGGACTAAAGAGTTTCAGCCCAAGAAAGTGTCTACGACAAAAATGGGAACGAACTGTTACTTGAAAAGTGTCCAACAGAAGTTTCCTTGCATCGGTTAACGTGGAAGAGGCCCTCATGGTCAATACACTGAAGCTGGTGGAGCACAGGAAGTGTGTGCATGGAGCGTACCTCAGGCCAGTCCGAGTAGAGCGCAGGGATATAGCCCAGCTTCGGAGTTGGGGGAAGCTGGGCAGGGGAGGAGCAGAGCTGCCTGTGTCTGACCCTGGATTCCATCCACACCAGCAGACCCACCTCCCAGCGGGAAGAACAGCTAGGGGTGGGGGGCGGGGGATGGGACACGTGGGAGGGCACTGTGGGCGGCTGACCCACGCTTGATCCCCAGCACCTCCCTTGAGCCCTGCCAGAGTGATCCTGGAACACAGAGCCAGGAATAAGACCTGAGCAAGGCCAGGCTTGGGGGGCCCCAAAAAAATAAATAAAATTAGGGGTGGAAAGATCGTTCAGCGGGCCAGCTGCCTGCCTTGCGCACGGCCAGCAGGGTTCAGCCCCCGGCATCCATACTGCTGGCACTCCCCCAAGCCCTGTCTGGAGTGAGTCCCAAGTGCAGAACCAGGAGTAACTCCTGAGCGTTGCCAGGTGTGGCCCAAAACAAACAACAAAAAATTTAAATCCCAGAAGGAAAATTGAGCGATTTCCTGCTATTGTCTGAGAAGTCTGCCTGGCTGAAGAAACCGACACAGAAAATTCAGTCGTCTGGGAGGGTTCTGGGGGCTGGGCTGCAGTAGGTTTTGTAGTGAGGAAGCGGTGAAGGGTGCAGGGTCCTGATGCCCCCCCCCCCCCAGACAGGATGAAGAGACGAACCATTTCCTTGCAAGGGGAAACACGGGGGACCTCAGGGGAGGAAATCACACTTGCTCTGGGATCAGCATGAACAGGTTTGGGGCGAAACGTGGCATGTGCTCACAGTGTGTTCACGACAAAGGATAAGTACTTAATCAGAATCCCACTTTAAAACTTGAACAGACTACAAAACATCTCGCTCAGAGTCAAAAATTGTCCAGTTTTAGAAGAAACGGATACTGGGGTGTCGGGCCCCCGCGGGCGTTCATCGGACACCGCGGCCCCTTCTCCACCCTCAGGGATGCGTCCCTGCCCGCTGACTCGGGAGTGAGGCATGTTGCAGTCTGCGGAGAAGATGGTTCCTCAGCCCTCACCTGAGGGCAGAGCCTTCTGTCTCGACAGAAACCCGTGAATCTGTCGAACACTGCAGCTCCGGGCTGGAACGTCACCCCTTTATACAGAGGACTGTCACAGCTGGAACCAGCATTCTGTTGACTTGCTTTAGACTTAAAATGACATAATAGAGACATACGATTATACAAAGAGATTGTACTTTATTTTGAAGTTCTCAAATATTCCACTATGAAAGCACATATAAAGATCCCATAGCCACAGGATTCTATGGGTCGGTCATTTTGATGTGGCTAAATTTTTCCCATTGTATTTTGTACTTAGGGTCTGAAACGCTTTACTGTGCCGGGTTGGTGGTGAGAGGCTGACTAGGAGGCCAGGCTCAGCCCTAGGGAGTTCCTGGCTTGTTGAGAGGCAGACAAGGAGAGAAATATTTAAAAGAAGTCAGATAGGGCAGTAGAGGTAGGCACAGAGTGTTCCGTGGGGAGCAGGGGGCAGGTGAGATGCCAGGAGCGGGAGTTAATGCCGTGAGGGGGAGGCTTGACTATGGGATCTGGAGTGTGAGGGGGCTTCGGCAGAGAAGAGGGCTGGGGCCTCAGTGCTTCGGGAAAGACTTGCACCGGCCCGTTGGATAGTGCAGTTGGACTCTCGCATTTATCCATAACTGGTGTTTCATCTTTGTTTGGTTTTGTAGTTGCTGCTAATTCTGTCTCTTGTCTTCTAGGGGGCTACTGAATGGTCAAACTGCTACCATATTGCCGGTGATAATAATCCATTGGCTGTCAATAGAGCAGCAAATAACATCGCATCTTTGTTGAGCAAGGGCCAAGTTAAAGAAGGGTAAATATTTAAAAGATTCTGTGACATGTCCTGGACTTAAATCATTCCTGTCCTGTTGACTCGTGCACCGTGGCATCATCAGCCCAACGAACATGAGACTCAAGTTCACTGACGATTTTTCTATGTATTGGGGTGGAGGGGGGTGCACACCAGGCGGTGCTCCTGGGAACCACGGGGTGCCCCAATCCAGCCTTGGGCTGCAGGGGCCGAGCGTGCGTTCCAGACGTGGCGCTCTTGCCCAGGCCTTCAGATGCTGTTTGTTTCTGGCGCACCTGGCGTCTTTGGGGACCATCTGGTGCTGGTGTCGAGCCCAGGTGTCTGGTATGCAGGGAATGCGCTGAGCCCCATGGAGCAGTGTCTGTGTGGGGCTGGTTTATGTGTTTGGTGTTGGGGACACACCTGGCAGTGCTCCGGGCTGGTGACTGACATGAGCACAGGAGAGATAGGGACCGTTCCCCTGTGAGGCAGGTGCCCCCGGACTGGTTGTGCTCAGGTTGTGTTAGCAGGGCTCAAAGGCACCAGATGGGGTGATGGACATTAAACCCGGGGGGCCACCTGGAGGCAGGCACCCTCCAGCAGTACCGGCTCTCCTTCCTCTCCGGCCTTTTTCTTTTAACTTCATATTGGGACTCATCGCGCACCTTTCCTTTGACCCACAGGAGCCCGTCGTGGGGCTTACCTATAGACGCTGTGCAGTGGGACATCTGCCACCTGCCTCTGAGAACTGGCTCTGTGGACATCATCGTCACTGATATGCCCTTCGGGAAAAGGTGGGCTTTGGCCTTCTTAAGTGGGAGTCTTACTCGGGCTTGCTGTCGAGTGCTCACTAACATTGTCTCTGCTGTATTCAGAAATACCCGGTACCTTAGAGCAAGCTCACAGCAGTGAGTACTGGATTCCTGTGCTCAGTTTCTGCTTAGAGCTAAGGAATGGGTCAGGTATATTTGGGTCCTGAGCATCACCGGAGGCTCCTTTTGAAAATGGCATCGCTGTGGCTCAGTCTAGACCTCTGCCGGTGACATGACCGTGCACAGACTGAGGAAGAGCGTGCTCTGCCTCTTGGGATAAAGGATTCCGTTACGGGTCTCTGTCAGAATCTGACCACTTCTCACCCTCAGCAAGAGGAGGAATCAGGTCATTTGAAGTTGTCCAAAGAAATGTTTCTGTAAACGCTTAGACCTACCGATTCTCTTCACAGAATGGGCTCGAAGAAGAGGAACTGGAACCTTTACCCAGCCTGCCTGCAAGAGATGAGCCGCGTGTGTCGGCCCGGGACAGGCCGGGCCGTGCTCCTCACTCAGGACAAGAAATGCTTCACCAAGGTGCGTGTCTGGCTCGGAACTCACTGTTGCCCTGACGTGCTGGGAAGCAGGTCTTCGTGTATGTCCTTGTTTGTTGTGGTGATGGCACAAGGGTCACGGAACTTGGTGGTGCTCACTGAGGTTTGTGCTGGGGCTGCAGTGCTCAGCGTTGGGCTTGCCGTGGGCCACCCGGTGCATGTTTGGTCACGGTGCTGGGGATCCCCAGCAGCGCCCACTTGCTGGAGGGAGGGCCTGAGGCTGCCTTGCCACAGAGCTCTCCCAGCGCCTCCAGCAGGCCTGCTCCCTGCAGGCCCCATTCAGCTGCCCACTCCTCGAGTTACTGGGAGCGGCAGGCGAACCTGGGCCTCCTGAATGCAGAAGTGTGGCCCACGTGCCCCCTCCCCCCAGTGCAGGTTGTGCTCAGGGCCGTGCCGGGGGTGGAACGTCTATATTGTCGGTCTCTCCAGCTCTCCCGGAGACTGAGGCCGTTTCTCGTCAGCCTAGAGACAGCCTGCCAGCTCCTACCTTTGTGCTTCATCTGTACACAGGCACTGTCTGGAATGGGTCACCTGTGGCGGAAGGTGCACACCGTGTGGGTCAACATCGGGGGTCTCCACGCCGCCGTGTACCTCCTGAAACGGACACCTCAAGCGTATGCTCCTGCGGCACCCGATGGCGAAAGAACGCCTTGGTAATGAAAGTGGAGATGACTCATCCCCGTGCGCCTCCGTGTCCGCGTGAAGGGCCCCGGGAGCGCAGGCTGGATGGCCGGAAGCTGCCCACCTGGGCCGGCAGGTGGCTTCAGCGATGGGAACAGGATGTGACGTGACCAGGTCCGAGGAGGGATGAGTCACTGGGAAATCAGTACTTTGTTTAGCATACTTTAAAGATGACTGTGAAAGCAAAAATTCTCTGGGATTTGGGTTTAGAACGTTTTATTTTTAGGCTTCGTTACAGTTGCAGTTTTACCCTGGCCTGATGGAAAGGCGGAGCCCGGAATTGAGTGACCCTCCTAAGCCGGGCGCGCTCGTTGCCCATGCAGCTCTGCTAGTTAATGACTAACCAGGCCTTTTCTTTTTCTCAACCTTGGAAAAGAAAGCGTCATTACATGCTGTGGAGAGTGTTTGCCTCATGAGACCTATAGGAAACGTTCCCATCTGTCTCAAGTATTAAAATATGCATATAAGGGGCCTGACCAATAGTATAGTGTGCCTTTCACCCACCAGGAATGATCCTTGAGCACCACCAGGTAAGGCCCCAAAATAAAAATGAAATGCATGTATTTCGAACTAATACAGAAGATTGCCAAGGTACTTTGCTATTAGTAATTAGGACATTTCCATTTGTAAATAGTAGTCAAACGTTGAAAATAAATAGGGACCAACAAGTTTGAAAAGAATTTTTATTTTTCTGTTCAGTTCAAGATTGTTTTGCTTTCAAAGTCAAACCTGTCAACAGATGTTTATTGGTTCCTCAAAAGGACTAGAAGACAAACTAATATATTTTTGAATTAAAAAAACTTCCTGAAAACTGTTCATAATGTGTGACTTTCTCCGCTCCAGAGCCCTTCCTGAGAGGGGAAAAGGAAATGACCTCAGCACCGAGTTGCTAAGGAACAGAGACACCCGAGGACAGAGACAAACGGGTCTTTTTTTCAAAAGTTCTTTTTGGGTGGGGGTTGTGTGTGTTCTACTTGGGGGATGGGGGCTGAGGGGCTACTCCCAGCTGAGTGCTTCTGGGGTGCTCCTGGCAGTGCTCGGGATTGAACCTAGGCACTAGCTCAGCCCTTGAACTAAGGTCCCCCTAGTTTCTGCGTCTGTCGAGTGCTCCCCATCCTCTCTGGTCTGCATATACAGAATCTCTGCTCCTTTCCAGGTGGGGGGCTGTAGGGATCTCTGACCGTCGTCAGCTTGCTTCTCCTCTTCACTGGAAGCGTAACAGCGCTGCCTGGTTTCCTTTGGATGCCTCGCATGGGTCTGTGCGCGGCTGGGGCCACACCCAGCAGGCGCAGGCACTGCCCCTGCTCTGTGCTCAGGACCGTGTTGGGTGCTGTGTGTGAGGCACCCTCCCCACCGTGCTGGCGCTCTGCTCCTGCTATCTCACATTTAGAATGAAAAGACAGTATTTCTTCCCCAGGAACGCACAGGAAATTCCAAAAGGGAACATTTTCCTTCAGCAGCAGCCTGGCCAGCAGGCCCTTCTGGTTCCCTCTGCAATCCCGCCTCACACTACAGCTAAGACCCTCGAAAGTTTTCTACCAGAGCTTTCTCTGCCAGCAGAACAAATAGCTGCCTTCGGTTATCTTAACCACTTTTCCTCTCTGAAAAGTAAGCGTGTGAATCTTTAAGTACAGGTCAACCACCTGCAAAACCAGCACAAGAAACATGTCAGTCTGCGCCCATATTTACCGAGATTGCCTCCCCCCGGCATTTCTGGAGCTCTCAGGGCTGTGCCACATCTGCAGTGCTCAGCTTACTCCTGATTCTTGTGCTCAGGGATCACTCCTAGCAGTGTTTAGGGACCTCCAGAGCTGAGGGTGGTGCCAGGGTCAGCCACATGCATGGCCTTAACCCTGTACTAACCTTCCAGCAGTTTCATTACCAAACGCTTTGGGAGAAGGGTGGGGGAGGGGGGCACACCCAGCTGTGCTAAGGGGATTATTCCTGACTAGCAGGATTCAGGGCAACATACGGGGTTCCTGAGATTGAACCAAGTTGGCTGCATGTAAGGCAAGCACCTTCCCTGCTATATTTTCTGGCCCATTAGTTGTCAAAAGTCACTTTATGCTTGTTCCATCACATACTTAATCCTGATGATAAGCCTGTGGTTGAGTAAAACCGCCAGGAATACATTGGGCTGGAGCGATAGGACAGTGGGTTGGGCACTTGCCTCGCATGTGGCAGACCTGGGCTCCATCCCTGGCATCCATACGGTCCCCGAAGCACCACCAGGGGGGATTCCTGAGTGTAGAGCCAGGAGTAAGCCCTGAGTATCACAAGGTGTGACTGAGCAAAAGAACTCCGCCATCTGCATAGTACGAGGCTTGGTACCTGGTGACAGGTATGGCCGAGGGACAGACTGAGAAGGCGTGGGATTGTTCTGTGTACACTGGGCCTCGCTGTGACTGTCCTAGGCTACAGGGATGGCGATCCATCATCTGAATGCACAGGATGGAGTTAGGCTTGGCCGAGGAGAATGTGCACTGGAGGGGGAAGCTGGAGCGAACACAGGGACGGGTTTTACAATCTCCCAGGGACAGGCGACGTCCTGGTGGTTAGGACAGGAAGCGTTTGGTCATGGCGCTGCCCGAGAGCATAGATGGCAAGAGGACTTTTCAGAAACAGCCACAGCCGTAGGCTGTGGCGCAGCAGCGCTGCATCGGGCTCCGGAGTCCCTTGCTGAGGGCCAAGACAAGCTGAAGCCGGAAATAGCTGGAAGTATTCTGAAAGGGTTCGCTTGGAAAGGACATTAAACCTCAGCTCTCAGTGAGGTGAGCGTTCTCTGCAACATGGGCCTCCGCAGGACGCCTACAGCTCCGGCAAGCTGGAGTGTGGGAACTTCTGGGGGGACAGGATCCAAGCCTGAAGGCCATGACGATGGCTTCATGTGTGAATTTCAGGACAATCACTGGAAATAAAGTGCGGCTAGAATACAGAGTAGGGGGCTAGAGGCAGCCCAACGAGGAGGGTGCTTGCCTGGCACGAGGGCGACCCAGCATCAATCCCCAGCACCCCCTCTCGGTCCCAAGTCCTAAGAGTAAGCACAGTCGTGCGTGGCCCCCAAACCAATCAAAACTGAAAATGCACAGCGTGGAAGGGCATTCCCATTCCAGCCCCAGAGCTGCCGTGTGTGCTCCCGCTGTGAAGCTGTGAAGCCAATGTTCCCTTTGCGACAGAAGTAGCTCCACCAGAAACCCTGGGACTTCCGGCCCGGGAGCGGCACATGGGGCTGGGGCACGTGCCCCGAGCGCCCAGGCCAGCTTCAGTTCTCTGCGTCACGATCCCACACACCAGCCTGGACACTGCACCTCATGCCAAGGGCATCAGACCTCGGCCTCTCCAGCTTCTCTGCACGCCACAATAACACACCAGTTGTCTCCTCTCTTGGGCAAGATTTTTTTTTTCTTTTGGGGCCACACCAGCTGTGCTCAGGGCTTTACTTCTGGCTATGTTCAGGGATCACCTCTGGTGGGTTTAGGGGACGCGAGCCAGGGACCAAACCTGGGCTGGCCACGTGCAGGACCAGTACTCTGCTGCACTATCACTCCGTCCCCAGAACTGAGCTTTCCAAGGTAAACAGAGCAACTGTTCAAGATAAAACTCTACCCTGAAGTGAAATATAGAACTCCTGGTGCGGTCAGGGGCCCATGAGGTGCTGGGGATGGAACCCAGACTGGCCGTGCAAGGCAAGCGTGGTACCTGTCTGTCTCTCTGGCCCCTTACCCAATGTCTTTGGAATTGCTGAACTCCGTTTCTTTCCTTTCTGGCCACAGGTGGGCTGCACATGGTGCTCAGAGATCTTGGCTCCGCTCAGGGACTCTTGACTCCGCCCATACGGCTGCAACAGAGGCAGGGGCCCTTCCCCGTCCTCGGGCCAAGTCCACCAGCCCTTCCCCTCTTTGATGCTGTTACTGCAGGGGTCAGAGGATGCGCATGTCTCTGGCGGTGGCATTGCCGGCACCTACAGCGGCAGTGCTCACACACAGTGCTCTGGGCACTTACACAGCACTGCAGATTAGAGCTGCAGCTTCAGGCTGTGAGGCAGTTACATCAGCCCCAATCATCCGGCCTCAGAGTCAATTCTTCCAACTGCGAATTCTGCCGTGTTAATTTCATTGTTTTGGCAATTTCTGGGGGGGGAGCTTGGGGGCCATCGTGAATCAGGTGCTCAGAGGTCACTCCTGGTTAGTACTTTGGGAACATGCTGTGCCAGGAATTAAACCAGGGTCAGCCACATGCCAGGCAACCCCTCTAACTACCTTCTCCTGCCCTTATAAGCAGTTTTACAAAAACGATGTAACTGGGTTGAACAGTTGTGATGCTTTAAGCAGTGACCCATTCTGTTTCCGTTTGTCGGGGGTACAGGAGAGTGAATCCAGGGCCTCACGGGAGACAGTGCTTTCTCCCCGAGTCGTTCCAGACTCCTGTCAACGGTCCGTTTTGAGGTGGCATAAGACATAAGTTGGTTTATGTTTGAATAGAATAGTAAAACCCTACAGTTGTAGCTCAACGTAAAATTTGTTTTAGGAAATATTTCAAGCTGGAGGGACAGCACAGTGGGTACAGCAGCTGCCTTGCATGGAGCCGACCGGATTCAGACTGGCACTCCATCCGGCCCCCAGAGCTCCTCCAAGGGTGAGCCCTCAGTGCAGAGCCAGGAGGAAGTCCTGAGGACCTCTGGGTGTGGCCCCAAACCAAAAAGAAAAGAAAAAGCTGGATAACAAGGCAACAGAATACACATATACCTAGGCATAGTAAAAACTGGTATTTTCAGCAACAGTGTTGAGGGTTGCTATGATAGGAGTTAAAATCCCCAAACCGAGCTCATGAAAGTCAGTGATGCCACAAATGCACCACCCCGGACTGTAGGACACACAGGGTCTCTTTAAGGTCAGTGATGGGAGCCGATGAGACAGCGCCTGGCCTCTGCGTGGTGCTGGGAAATACTTCTCAAGTCTTAGGAAAACAGAGTTGGCCTGATGATTTCCTGTGCTAGGCCTTTATCAACAGGCACTGTCTCGCCCTCGGGGAGCAAACTAATAAGAAAAATGCCTAGGTTATCCACAATTATGAGATGGAACGAATATTCGGGGCTGGGGGCGGGGGCTGCAGTGACGTGGAACGGAGGACGAGGACAGCGAGGAGACTTCAGGAATCTTTATGTGAGAACTCGCCTCCTTCCACTCACTGAGCCTCTAACTGCCTCCCCGTTCTATTTCCATCCCTCTCTGGACCATCACTTCGTGCCTCTCACTGTGGAAGGATCTAAATGGGCTCTTTAATCTTCTCTATTTCTATAGCTCTGTAAGTAGTTAAACCCCCCTCCCCCATGTTCCAGCAAAGAAAGGTACTACTATGTATTGACTAAGTACTAAGGTAGTGGAATGAATTGACTACGACTACAAAGCAAGTGAGTCTAGTTTGTCTTGGGGGCCACACCTAGCTGTGTGCAGGGCTTACTCCTCACTCTGTACTCAGGGATCACACTTGGGGGCACTCAGGGGACCATATGGGATGCCGGGGATCAAACCTGGGTCAGCACGTGTAAGCGTGCCCATCCCAGTGTACTACTGCTCCAGCCCCAAGTGAGTCCAAATTCCTGGCCCTTAAGTTTGCTTGTGGATTTACAGAAAGTTGCTCACCCTGTCATTTCCCCCGAGATGGGGTTCTGACCACACTAAATACACCGGCAAGAGCTTGGCACACCGGCACATGTGTGATACCAGTATTATCAGTTCCGTATTTCCACTAGCTTCTGCCTGTAGTATTCACTGGATGTAAGTGGCAAGAGTGACAAAGTAAACAAGAT